TGTGTGTGTGTGTGTGTGTGTGTGTGTGTGTGTGAGAGAGAGAGAGAGAGAGAGAGAGAGAGACAGAGAGAGAGAGGAACTTGTCTAAGCCTTTCCCAGTTCCTCACCTCATTGCTTCCCTCCTGGGACTTCTGAAAACCCTGAGCCACCATTCTGTTTCTGTGGGAGCAGCCTGGGTGGGCAGAGGTGCCCTGAGGAGCAGGTGGAGCCATTGATCTCCTACCCAGCTGCTGTCTTTATCCAGAGCCTCCTCCCCACTGGCCCTCCATGACCCTGTGGGTAGGGCTGGAGGGGTTGGGGTGGTCCTAGGAGGCCATCAGGCTAGAGGGAGGCAGGTGGGCCCTTGTCCAAGCACAGCCAGGTTCTGCCTATAATCTTTTTTTTCTGTGTCCTACATTTCCCCATTCCCAGTCATACATGCAAACACTGAGCAATATATAGAATGGAAAAGAGAGAGGTTCATTTTAATACCTCATCCCTCCTCAGAGAAATAGGCTTCCCTAGCCCGCTTGTTATTCCCATGTAGGAGTTTGTTCACTCAGTTCTTGTTCCCACAAATCCAAAGGCAAGGACCATGTCTTACTAGCTAAGAAAGCTCATGGCAGAGCTAGGCAGAGTTGTTCTGCAGTTAGTGTTCACTGCATGAATGAATGAATAATGAGGAAACTGGCTGAGCATTTAGACTTCAGCCCATAGGCAACTTCCCAAGGAGACTTGCCTCCTCACCTCCACCAATAGAAAATAATCATGAGCACCAACATTTACTGAGCACTTGTATCTTCTAAGATCTTGGCAGGCACTATCTCCTTTAAATCTCACTAGGAAGTGGGCACATTAGGGAGTGGATAAATCAGATGGGGTTCTAAGGCCCACAACCCAGGTTGGCCCTTTTCTTTCACTGTGCTTGGTCTAGGGACCATGACTTCTTGTCTGCCTCCCTATCTGTGTTGCTCAGAGCAGGCAAGGGAGATGTCTGATCAGTCTTAATACTACTCTGTTTACACAGTAGGCCCTTTAAAGTGTTTATGCATATGTATTAGTGAATGAATGGAGAAACAGGGAGCAAGGGATGGCATTTTCTGAAAATGCCTCCTTCCCACTATGAACTCAGTCTGAGAAAAGAGCAAGAAGCAGCAAACAGGATCCAGGTTGGGGTCATGGCAGCCAGCCCACTTAGTAATGTGTACATTGTCCTAGAGTCAAAACCAAAATCATTCTGAGTACCTGCCCTCCATGAAGTGGAGGCAGAGCATCTGACTCAGATCACCATTATGCCCAGATTTTGGAGACCCCAGAAGGATATTTGTTTTTGTGATGCTGGGTATGGAACCTGGGGCCTTGAGCACACTAGGCAAGAACTTGATGGCTGACCTACACCAGTACCCAACCTTGCAGAAAGTTCTGAAAGCTAGACTGAACCTCAATGATCTTCACCTATCTTCTTTCTTCTCCCCTAGAGAAGATGGGCATCCTGGGTCCTAGAGAGTCCCAGGTTAGGTTTTAGTACCACTCCTAACCTCTCCTACCTCCTGTTGAAGGACCAAATTCCTTTACATTTGGAAACTCTCTTGCATCCAATTCATGGTGATTCCTCTCATCTCCCAGAAAGTTTATGTCTCTGGGGACAGGGGCAGAAGGGTCATTCCTGCAGCAGGCACCCTGTTAGGCTGGGGCACACCCTTTGACTGACAGATGCAAATGTTCCACTGGGCCCCCACAGGCCGCTCTCTCCCTCCCTTCCTTGCAGGCCTCCCAGCCAGCTCCCTCCTTTCTTTATCTTATCAAAGCCCCGTAATTACAATTGCTATTTTGTTTCCTCGAATCTGCAATCAGAGCTCCCGGGTCCAGATGAGGGAGCGCCTGTCAACCTGATCGCTGAGTGACAGCCTGGTCACCTTTCCCCGCAGCCCCCACACTCTGCAAACAAACACACACACACACACACACACACACACACACACACACACACACACACGAGCGTGAGCATGCTCTCTCACACACGCTCACATATTCCCTCTCCTGAAAACATAAACACACTCTTTGCCAACACGAATGACTCCTCTCCACAACCCGTTCTCTTCGTCCTCTTCAGTACCCAAATGCACCCCTTGCCCTGCGACTGGCTCCAGGGCCCTTCACACCAGCCATGTGGGCGGCCTGGAGTGCCAAAGATTCAAATGCAAATCACCGAGACAGTGTCTTGTGCTTTGCAAGTCCCCTGGGAGGCTTAGCTTGTCCTCTAGGAGTGGCACACCTTCGCTCTCCAAATACAGGGCTGGCCTTTCAGCGGTCTGCAAACACAGGTACATTTTCACATTTTCATCCCCTAACCCCCAGCGCTCTGCTCTGGCGTGATGCAGGTACAGAAAAAGGGAATCGAGGCGGGGAGCAGGAGAAAAAACAATTCCCAGCACCATCCGTGAAGTGCCAGATCAGGCTGGGGAAACTCCATGACTAAGAGGATGTGGATTGGGCCCCTACTGAGGGCAGGAACGTGCTAAGAGCCCTTCCCCATTCTCCACCCCCAGACCTACCAGCAAAACATGGGAGAAATACAATGGGTGATGAGCTGTCCTTGCAGGGGCCGGGAGCAAGACCAGGATCACAGCAGGGGGTAGATGGGTCAGCTTGGGAAGCTTCCTCCACTCCAAGAAATGACTTGGTGTTGCCCTCAGCCAGTCTCCAACCAAGCACCAGCTGAGGACTTTGAGGTTGAAGCCCAGAGGAGGAAGGGAAAGAAGGAAATGTTGCCACCCAGCCCAATTCCTCTACTCTAGCACAAGCACTTCAAGTGAATGAATGAATGTATGTATATATGCAAGCCTTAGTTATTTATTCTCTCGCCTTCAGCCTATAATTCGGCTGCCCAGACATCCCACAGGATTAATAGGGCCCGCACCATGCTGCACACCTAGAGCCTATAGAGGCAGCTTGGGGAGTGGGTACGCCACAAAGTTTCGACCTTGTCCACCAGAGGGCACCAGTTCCACTTTCCCAGTTCTCACCAGACCCTAGTCTGCCTACTGGGGTGGCAGCACTTTATAAGGTCATCCCCCCGTGGAAAAAGGAGGCTGAGACCCTAATCACAGCAACAGACAAGACAGCTTCCTTTATTCTTAGCCTGAGGCAGGGAGGGTGAAATCAGGATCCCTAACTCCTCAACACAGCAGGGATGTGTGTGTGTGTGTGTGGTGGTGTTCTCTAAGAATGTGAAGAGGGGCTGCTTTTCTGTATTGTGGGAACTTTCCTCAAAGTCAATCTCACCTGCCCTAATAACAGCACCTTTGTTTTACTTATCTGAGGAACCCTTCCCCATGCCTACTCACTAGCCCAGCAGCTGGTATGGGAATAAGCCTGACCCCCCTCAGGCCCTGTTCTCTGTCCATCCTCGGCTTGTCTGGCCTCATGCTGTCTGGAGAGGTAATGTTTTGTTTGTTTGTGGGGCAATGACACCCCCTCATCAACACAGCTGCTGAACTGCTGACCCCAGAGCTGGTAACATATATCTTCACACTCATACAAGTACATCCCTTTCTCTCCTAGCACAGAAAGTCAAAGCCCAGAACCACCTGAGTTCGGGCACCAGAGATCCCTACACCAGGCCGTATGCTAGGGGATAGGAACCCCTTAGCCTAGGAGGATGATTCCCAGAGGCCCTTTTCTGTCCCCATATGCCAGGCCACCCGGATTCTGGTTTCCCTGTCACCCAATCTGGCTAGTTCCCTCCATCTGGCCCTGGGAATCAGGTTTCTAAGGGCCAGCCCTGCTCAACCTGCCTGAAAGACTGAAGGAGGAGCAAAGACTAGTCTCCACCCCAACCCTCAAAGGCCCTCTCTGGGTCTGAGTTCCCTCATGGGGCTAGGGATGCACATTCCTCAGGCTGCTTAAGCCTGCTTATCAGCCCCCCTTCCCATCAGCCTGAGTGCTGACAGAGGCCCAGACCCCTTGTTTGGATGTTGATAACCTCCTGTGATGGCCCTCCCCCACCTGCAGAGGCTGGGAATGGGCTGGCTGTTGGGAGATCCCTCTTGGCAAGGCAGTTGAGACCTAGACATGGTCCTGGTGCAGGGTTCTGGGGATAGCAGGATCCCACAGGGCTCCCCACCCCTGGCCCAAGGCCACCCTTTGTGCTGCCACAGTGCCACCTGGTGGTCCCTAGGGAAATGTCACTGGCAAGGGAAGAAGACACACAGAGCAGTTGCAAAAAACCCCACACCACTTTATTTCCATCTTTATCTAAAAATGTAAAAAGTGTTACAAATGTGTAGTTCTGAGATTCAGATACTAACCTTTAATCCTCACAGGCAGGTGGGGACATAGAGTCAGCATAAAAGTTCAAAATTCCCCTTATGCCTATAGGAAAGGGAAGCCCCAGACATGGTACAGGACCAGAACACCAGGACCCTAAGGAGAATGCCTCTCTCCTAGCACCAGCACAAGACCCTTCTACCCAACCCATGCCCCAAACTCTCCTCTTCAATGGAGAAGAAACATTTAAAATTCTTGAAACTTGTCCACGAACATGGCGCATGGTGATGCAGCAGGTAGTTACCTGACCTGAGAACAAAAAATAAGCAGTCAGCATCTAGGCTCTCATTTGCTCCTCCTGCCCCCTCAGAACCTTCTGGGCAGCCTTCCCTTCCTACTCACCAAAGGCTAGCGCCTACCCCGCTGCTTTTTGGCAGGAAGGATGGGGCACAATTCAGCTTCCTCCTCTACATTATCCTCTTCTTCACTCTCCTCTTCCTCAGAAACATCATTGCTTATAGTAACTGGTAGAAACACAAGCTGTATAAGGAGGAGGTTAAAAACAGACCCCTGTCATACCACGTCACTTGTTCATACACTCTGGTGCTAGGCTGGCCTCCCAGAACTCATGGTCGAGGTGGAAGAAGCCTCGGACACTAAACTAGGTGAGAAGAAACTAAATGAGTCCACATCACTTGAGCTGGTAAAGATGGGACAGGCTGCATGGATTAGGTAGGCTTGAGTGGGACAGCGAATGGAGGGGACATCATGCCAAAGGACATAGCTTGGGAAGGCATGCAGGTCAGATTGAGCTACACTGGGAGATGAGGCTGAATGGTGCAGGAATTTGGAGTGTGGGGAAGGGCGGATGCAGAGCCCATTGGAGGCAAAGGAGAGGGCCCTCCCCTCCTCTCACCAATCTGGTGCCGCCCAGTGATTCGCACAGGGCCAGAGCCCGACTTCAGGCGGAAGGTTACAGGTGGTTGAAGCTGGAAGTCATCTAGACTGAGCTGGGAGGAAGACAAGGATGAAGGCCTGGACCACTCCTAGCCCATCTCATCTTGAGATGAGCACTGATGTCCTCAATCCCCATCCCACCCCACCCAACCCAAGACATGGCTGGGGAACTCACCATGGGCTGGCAAGACAACCTGAGGTTGGCCACAGGAACTGCAATCTCCTGGTGGTCATGGTTTCGGGCTACAACTTCCACTACATTACACTCGTCCTTGGCCCCCTCGGTGAGGCAGAGCTGGGAAGGATATACAGGGCCTCAGGATCTCCCCAAGACAGGTTGATACCACAAGTAGAGGCACCTACCCTAGAACTTGCCTGGTCTCAAAGGTCCCTATATCAGGGAACCAGGGGAGCAGTCTATGACTCCTAATAAAGGAGTAGCAAGGGAATTAGGTAGATCCACTGGTTGCCAGCCCCCTCTACCGCCCCTCACCATGGTCAAGGCCAGCACGTGCTCTGCATCATCCTCTTCCTCTATCTTGAAAGTGAAGGAGCGGGTGTGGCCAGAGAGCTCACAGCCTGAAAGAGATATCGTGGTAAGTTTGAGTGTTGTGTGCAGAAGCGGTGGGGTGCGGTGGCGTTTCGCTAACCCATCACGCATAGTTATGGACTAATTGGCCATTTAACACGCCTACCAGACGTCCCCTCAGAAAACCTCGGTAACTAAACCCTGGGCCTGGCCCAGCACGTCTGGGGCAGGGGTCTCGGCGCCCGCTTCAGCTTTAGCGTGCTAGGGCCCACCTGTCCGCCACGAATAGTGAGAATCCCTTCCGCCCACATCAACAACGTGCAACCATCCACATTCCTGTTCTTCATCCCTACCTCTTCCTCCCCCAGGGCCACCCTCAGCACCTTTCCCCAATACCGAAAAAGAAACTGTCCACAGTAACCGGGGCCGGGACTCGCAGATCCCCGACACCCCCGGCCCGGGATCGGCTCTCTTGACTCAAATAAACTAAAGCGGCGGCAGTGCCGGCGGCCATGCTGCAAGGGCCGTCTCGGAGCTCCGCCCCCATCACGTAAGGAGCGTGGCACCCTTGGCCAGTTCCGGCCCCGCCTATTAAAGGAGACACTCCTCTCAGGGAGAGGAAAGGCGCCCGGATTGCAGATCTAGGGTTTCTCCTGCCCCTCGTTCTGTAAACCGCAGCTCCTGCTAGCACCCGGCAGGACTTCAGAGGAAGGAACTTCACATAAGAGCATGGATTTAGCCTTAACGTTGTTTTTGCTAACTTACACGGCCATGAGCGGGCCCATTCTCTCCGATTCATCGCCCCATATATTGTCTCCCTTCCAACCCAGGGTAAACTTTCGTTGAAAAATTTTCTATTTCCCCTCCTGCAGAGATGGGATTCAGAGCGGCACTTTTCTTATGAAAATACTCTGGAAGGGCGTAAAGGAAGTTTCAGCTCCAGGAACTTCCGCCCACCATTCCGTCCTGATTCTCTTCTGCATATTCTTTCCAAACGCTGCAATTCACTATCCAGATGGTCTCTCTTCCTTAAACTTTAGGTGACAGGACCCGGATGCTTGCTACCAGGACTAAACAGCTCAGCTGGGAGATTCTACTGTTGCTCCTGGCGGATCCGCTTTTTTTTTTTTTTTTTTTTAGTTGGACACAATACCCTTATTTATGTGATGCTGAAGATCTATTCCAGTTGCTAGGCGAGCACTCTACCGCTCAGCCACAACCCCAGCCCGGGATCCGCACTTTTTAAGGGCTTCTAATTCTCAACCCAGGTACATACTTGTACTTTGTTTGGATCCCCTTCCCTTCTTCTGTAACTGGGATTCAACTCAACCGGTGCCCTACAGGGAACTAATCTCTAGCTGAGGTTAGCCTTGAACTTGATCCTCCTGCCTAGATTCCTGAGTGGCAATTCCTTTTTCTATCTCAAACTGCATTTCTATCCCGTTACTTGAGAGAATATGAGCAGGTTATAATTGTGGTAAGCTTTGCTAAAAACTAGTCTACTACTTTTGCCTTGAGGAAAATCTGGAAGGAAGAGTTTTACTGGAGACAGGAGTAAGGGAGTGCTGCCTTTAAGAACCAGTCTCTAACTTGGAAGAGCTGTGGAGAGAAGTTCGGTATGCCTCCCTCCCTGCTTTAAGGCAAGGCATTATATTTCAGTGTGTGGTGGTGGTGGTGGTGGGAAGAGTGGCAGACAGAAGTAGGTGCACGCACTAGACACCACACACATTCACTTCAAGTTTTATTTAGCCTCTTGCATGGTCTTCAGATAGTTTTACAGTTCGTTTTCTACAGGAACTGAGTTGTGATCTAAACAATCAATGAAATGTCATTCCAACCTTAATAAATATTCATAACCATGGAAGATAGCATAGCACTTTATGATCCTATAGTGATGAAGGTATAGACCTGGATATCTATTGCACAGTTAGCACGTGTGACCAGAGGCCAGGCAAAGGGATTACTAAAAGCCAAGGTAAAACCAAAAGCACTTGTTTTAAAATCCTGATTCCATGAGGATAACTCCAAAATCCTCCAGATAAAATGCTTGAGTGCTTGAGATGTCAAAGAGAAGACTAACATTCAACTGTCTTAATATTTAGTAGGGATCTTACCTTCACCTCAGCCCTCAAAAATGCAAATTTGTTTTCAGCTTGCCAACACATTACAGTTAAAAGAGTTCTACCCTAAGAACAAAGAGACTTCCTTCCTCCTCACCCACAGGGCACACACTTGGGCCTCCACTGGAAGTCACTAGATACCACTACATACAATGCTTTAAGAGTCACTCAAAGCCCACACTAGTGGAGATCTACCAAGGCAAATCTGTTTCTAGTTTCCTTCTTTATCCCTCCCTCTCCCCCGATTCAGCTGAAAGTTAAATAGCTGATGCAAAACTGCTGGAAGCAAGATAACAAAAATACTGTTATGAATCTATGGAAAAGTCAGCCAGCCATGATGAAAAAAATGAGTCCTGCAGAGATTACCTGCCAGCCTCATGCACAGAACCCTTAAAAACACCAATTCTAAATTAGAATACATGAAGCTTTCAGAACCTGTGATTAAAGGAAAAACAGGGGTAGCCATAAATCATTGGTTAAAGTGTGCTCATTCTTTTAAAAATTAGATAAAATCATGCAAATATTAAAGACTGATTTAAATCAGTAGTAACAAGTCTTGAGATTAAAGGACAACTGATCTAAGGGCAAAAACCATTCAGTCTTCTTACCCTATTTGACAGATGTCAAAATGAACATTTCACATGCTGATTTCCAGAAGTGACTGCATTTTGCAACAGATCTAAGAAATTAGGCTCTCGTACCCAAAAAGGTTATGGCCTAGCCCTAAGTGGGAGGCACTTTAAAACTTATTATGGGGTGGGGGGAAGGAAAATTCACCTTCCATTGATTTGCTAATTCAAAGTGCCATCCTAAACACCTTTTCATTTTAAAAAAACAAAAATTACCAAAAACAATAAACAAAAGGATAGTCAAGTTACAGCTAGTTTATATACAAAGAAATTTACAAGTTTGTCAGTTTTAGGCTTTTACACAAACAACTGCACATTTTTGTCCCTACAAAGTACAACATGCCTGAACCAATGGTTACTACAGGAGACAATCAGCCATAGCTTTACAAAAAGCAGAAAAACTGCCCCAAATTGAAATCATTTATTCATCTTAAACTAATGCCAAACCATCCCACCTGGAAAATCAACCCTGAAGGCTCTGAAACCCACTAAAATCTTTCTCAACTCTGCATGTCTCCAAAGAATGAGACATTTCATTCAATAAACCAAAGAGGATGCCAGAAGTGATTTTGATTACTCTTAGGTGAGAAATGCAACACTGGATACAGAAAAATAGTGCTGACTACATTTATTGAAGATCCTCCCTATAAGCCCACCTAAGGTGTCTTAGCACCTAACACAAGACATAAGACCCAGAAGAAGGGCCCCACATGTCTGTTTCATACAGAATTTGCAGCAGTATACTATCTTCTTCCAACCAGTCAGGAGTCTGAAAGTGTGATGGGTGAGTTTTACAAAGTTGTCTTTGTTTTCAATTCAAATGGACTGATATGTTGCTGCTCCAGACGCAGAACCGTATGAAGACCCCAACCACCAACCACAAGGTGGAGTTAAGAGTTTTGGACAGTTCATGGTGCCAACAGTGTCACAGGCTCCGACCAAGTATAACCACATCCTTTGGAAATCCTTCCATTTTTGCAATTTCAAAACAGCCTAACTTGCTGTAAAATTCCAGAATTCTTTTATCATCTGGTCTCACTTCACAGAAAGCCCCCCGGGAGCCTAAAAATGAAATTCAGAAACATAAATAAGTCACTTATGAGGAAAATTATGGATATAAATTAGAAATAATCATTAATGCATTTACTACAAATAATAAGCTTGTTTATACCAGTCCCTAAATTTCAAACAATTTTTAAAATTCTTTTTTTAAAAAATCTTTATTTATTTTTATGTTGTGCTGAGGATCAAACCCAGCGCCGCGCACATGCTAGGCAAGTGCTCTACCACTAAACCACAGCCCCATGCCCTAAAATTCTTAATAATAATATTCAACAGTGAGTGAAACTTGTCCCAAAATCTTTTAGGGAACAAGGTATAAGAAACCTGAAGACTGAGTCAAACATGGTGATGCACATCTGAAATCCCACTAGGGAGGCTGAGGCAGAAGGATTCTAAATATAAGACCAAAACTAGACAATACCATAAGACCCTAAAGCAAAATTTTAAAGAAAGGGTTGAGTGTATTTCTGTGGTGGAATACATGCCTAACATGCACAAGGGGTTTGATCCCTAGTACTACCAAAATTGAATTCCTAAAGGAACTTTCTCCTTTAGATTAATTTTGAACCACTACTTATGATTCACTCCTCCTTTAATTGGGGCTCAAAATAAGTGTTCATAGTAATAAAAGAGTAGTATTTTTCAATGAGTAATATACATGGAATTCTTACACACTAATAATTCAGAAAATAAGTCATGAGTTAAAAATAACAGCAAGTGGCTATAGTCTCAGGTGCTCTATAGGCTGAGGCAGGAAGACTGCTTCAGCCCAAGAATTGCAGGTCAACATAGTGAGAAAGACCCCATCTCTCTCTTCTCACACACACACACACACACACACACACACACACACACACACAACAGTAAGAGAGTACAGATTAACAATTCACTTCTTTCCCTTTCTAAAATTCTCTTGCCCAAACAATGCCAACTCCACAAATATGTACTTACCATTAGCTTTCAGTGAAGACAGGAGGCAAGCCATCATACTCTTGGCTACACTTGGGTCAGTTACTTTTTTGTGAATATCCATCTTGATCAGAGAAGGGAAGTTGGCGAGGAAAGTTTCTGGCAACACTTCCTGTTCTTCATGGAAACTCAACATTATTTTCTGCAAAAATTAGAATCTTTTGACTTCCAATTTCAAAACATTATGTATCTATATCCTAGAACTCACCAACAGGAAAATGACAATATTTAGTAACTCTTCCAGACATTACAAAATTATCACACACAGAATTTGTTAGCTTTCGATTCTAGCCGAAGCATTTTTTTTTCTTTTTTTTTTTTTATTGTTGGTCGTTCAAAACATTGCTGAAGCATTTTTTTTCTTTTTTTTTTAATTGTTGGTCGTTCAAAACATTACATAGTTCTTAATACATCATATTTCACAGTTTGATTCAAGCGGGTTATGAACTCCCAACTTTACCCTGTATACAGATTGCTGTATCACATCAGTTACCCTTCCATTGATTGACATATTGCCTTTCTAGTGTCTGATGTATTCTGCTGTCAGCTGAAGCATTTTTCATATTCAAAGCTTTCTAGGGAGTTGGGGGGAATAGCTCAGTGGTACAGCATTTGCCTATCATCAAACAAAAGCCCTGAGTTCAATCCCTAGCACCACCAACTGGAATACAAAAAGGAAATTAGTGGAAAAAGTGGTGAATAAAATGGTACACACCTGTAATCCCAGTGACTCAGGAGGCTGAGACAGGAGTATTAAAAGTTTGAGACCAGCCTCAGCAACTTAGTGAGACCTCATTCTCAAAATAAAAAGGATATAGCTCAGATAAAGCCCCCTGGTTCAATCCCTTGTTTAAAAAAAAAAAAAATATATATATATATATGTATATATTTTCTTCACCTTATGATGGGGGCTATAAATTCAAAGTATTGCAACTCACAAAGGATTTTTTGCCAAGTTGGCAGAGTGCTTGCCTCTCATGCACAAGGCCCTGGGGTTCTATCCCAGCTATACACACACACACACACACACACCCCAATTAGGGTGCCTGGTGTGGTGGCACACACACCCAGCTACTTGTAAGGCGGAGGCAGGAGACTGATCACTGAAGTTCATCATCAGGCCGGGAAACACACTAAAACCTGGTCTCAAAATGTAAAATTTGGAGTGGGTGGGGGTTTCTGTAGAGAGTATGTAAGATCTTTTCGCTTGTTATTATTCCCTAAACAATATAGCATTTACATTGCATTAGGTATTAGTAAGTAGAAACAATTTAGAAGTGTATGGGAGGAAACTGGGTGTTTTTTCTGATCCTAGTAATGTACTTACCTGTAAATTCATTTTTCTATTTTGTATTTTGGGTTATTTTAGCACTTCATTCATTGGTGTGCTATATTTTCCATACCCCCTATTCACTTAAGCCACGGGTGGGAGGAAGCCACACACACATTAACTAGGCAGCATATGGGAGGGATATATGTGGATTACATGCAAAAACACCATTTGATATAGTGAGCTTAAGCATCAACAGATTTTGGTATCCTATGGGTATGGTATGGTTGGAGTAGTCCTGGAACCAATTCTCTGTGGATACTAATGAATGACCATACATTTTGAAATATCAGTTGTTTTCCATCCTTCATCAGGTGACTAAAACCTGTGGCTTGCTGCTACCGCCTAGCTTCATGATAGCATATCAAACTGTTTATTGGTAGCTAGGAAAAGATCAAAGTTCAAAACTGAAATATTATTTCTACTGAGTATATATTGCTTTTGTACCATAAAGTTAAAAAAACAACAACAAAAAAAACATCAGACTATTATCAGTTTATCAGTTGGGGCCATCCGTATGTAATACACTCTCAGAAAACTGTACTCCACTCACATTCTATAGTAAATCTATTCTTTTATTTCTTCCACCTATCTTTCCCCCACCCCTACAAAATGAGATCACTCTGCCTTATCTTTCTGAGTTCCTGGGATTACAGGCATGCACCACCGCATCTGGCCCCATTCCCTATTTTACATAAGGTAATTGATAATATGTACACAAGCACACTGCCAATAGTATGCCTGTGTAAACTGCAATGGTGTGCTCAAGTAAATTGCCAATGATATATTTTGATTGACCTCAAATGGAGATCGGATGGGAAAAAATATTGGTTTTATGAAAATAAACCCTTTCTCCATTACTGGCAGGCTCACATTTAGCTCGTCTTTAAATTCCAATAAGTTGTTTTGCTCAAACAACAAAAACATAAAAATCTTTTTAAAAAAATTTTTAAAAATATTTATTTTTTAGTTGTAATTGGACACAATCCCTTTACTTATATATATATTTTTAATGTGGTGTTGAGGATGGAACCCAGGGCCTCACATGTGCTACGTGAGCACCCTACCGCTAAGCCCAACCCCTCATATATCATTTTTAAGCCAAGGGCAATTTTTACATATAGAGCAATCTAAGTAGATAGATATACTATACTTAAAAAAAAAAATTCTTAGTTTTTCCAAAGCTAGCATCTTGTTTAAACTTCTTGTTTAAATTTTTTAAAAAGTACTAATACTTCTCTTCTGTAAGAAATTAACTTGAGTACTGAGATTTTGTAACTCATTCCTTCATTCACTCAGGCACAGTTCTGGAGCTTGAACCCCCAGGAGTACTGTACCACTGAGCTTTAGAAGCCACCACACCAGGCTTACGTTTATATTTTATGAAAAAAATAAAACAAGCCAGGCACAATGGTGCATACCCATAATCCCAGTGACTCAGGAGGCTAGGCGGAGGATCCCAAGTTCAAGATCAGCCTAGGAAACTTAGCAAGATCTTGTTGCAAAAAAAAAAAAGGGGGGGGGGGGATGATGTGGGGCTGGGAATGTGGCTCAGTGGTAGAGTGCTCATCTAGCATGCATGAGGCCCTGAGTTCAATTCCCAGGAAACATACACAAACACAAGGGGTGTGGAATAGGGAAAGAATGCTCAGTAGCACACACATGACACACCAGGTACAATCCCTACTATTGCAAAGTAAACAAAACAACTATCACCATAGTATAATTCTAAACCAATACATTACCTCAGCTTCTGAGAGTTCTTTGTCACCATTTGGCTTTGTGTACTTCTCCTGCATGAATGGAATCCAGGAAATTTTACATTTTTTAATGAAGGGGGTCACATCTACAGTGCCCAAGGCATAACCACATATACCATCTTCATCTTCTAGGACAAAACAGTAATCCAGGCTGAGGGAAAGCAGTCCTCCTACTAATCTGCTCAGAAGGAAAGAGGGCAGAGTGAGCTTGTTAAGTGACTAATACAAAATTCAGAATGTACTTGAATGATCTTATTTCCAGAAACTACATTTGGTATAAAAGCAAATAGAAACTCACACATACGGATTTTCAGATTTTACTAAAACTAAATTAAAAAAAAATTTTTTTTTTCCAGTCATTACCTCCCCTCAACCAGATAAACCTGATCATAAAATGTCTACTCCCAAATCCAAATAGTCACCACATACTTGTCTCCAATAAGGTCAGGTTGACTTTGAAAAGGCAAACCCACTCCATCATCATACATTTCTCTGCAAATCTTGTACACGGAAGCCTGAAAATATAATCTAGTTAAGCAACACATCAAGAAAAATGGCAATAGAATCTATCAACAATATGATTTATATGTCAGTCTGGGGAGGGAGTGACAAAAAGTCTGTCCTGTCAGAAATATCACCTGTGCTTCATTAAATAAAGATTTATTCTTTGGTTCAGACTTGTAAGACCAGTAAAAAACAGCATGGTTTTAGTAAACTATGAAAACTGTTTTGCAGGAGATGGTTTTGGGTAGTAAACTGTATATTTAAAAGCCAGCAAAATCCAAGCAACTTGGAGGAATGAGGCAGGAGGACCCCAAGTTCCAGGCCAGTCTTAGCAACTGAACAAGACTCTGTCTCAAAAGAAAAAATAAAAAAATAACTAGGGATGTAGCTCAAGAGGTTAAGTAAAGTACCCCTGGATGTAACCCCCAATATTAAAACAAAAACAAAAAAAAAAACCCAGCATATTTTGGGTTGTGTCTCTCAACTTTCTAAAACATAAGAACAGTTCTTATTTTTAAGCAATGAAATGTTACTGTTTTAATATTGCTATCTTTAAGCAGGCTTGCTTTTTCCTATAGATGGTTTTCAACCACCTACAGGTACAATAGAAAATTACTTAACAACTTAATGTTCAGTCAAGGATTAACAGTCATTTAGACACAGCTGCGGTGCTGGCACATGACTACAGTAAAAGCAACTCAGGAGACTGAGGCAAGAGGATCACAAGTTTGAGGCCAATTTCAGCTTGGTGAGACCCTGACCAACTTAGCAAGCTCTTGTCTCAAAAAAAGAAAAAAGGGGTGGGGACATAGCTAAGTGGCCCCTGGGTTCAATCCCCACTACCTACCCCCTTAAAAAAAAAAAAACAAACAAACAAACAGATATTAACTGTTTAGGAGTCCTTAACTTCACTCCTTAGGTTTTGCCTCAAATTTCTCTTAGCTTTCCTCCTCAGGTGTTCATTATTTTATTTAACTTCCCCATGTAAAATTTGTACTTTAAGGGTTAGGGGTATGGCTCAGTGGTATAGTGCCTGAACAAAGCTCTGGGTTTGATCCCTAGCACCACAAAATACAAAGTACTTATTTTAAGACAGAAGAGATTTTTTTTTTTCTTAACTAGGAAAGTTGTGAGCCTATAACCACCATTCACCAAGTTGATAAACAGACAATTACCTCATCTTTAGGAAAATATGGTCTGATAGTATAAACTTTGGAGGTAGGAGTCAGTGGGGGTGGTTGGAAAAACAGATCATTTGCCCCATCAATTGGCAGCAAACGCTGTGGAAGGAAAAAAAAAGGAGATGGATTAGTGTTGGGAAGATATCCATTTATTTAAATGAGTGCACTGCAGATTACCAACTTAACATTAACTGGCTACTGCAGGCAGACCTAAAGAAGAGGGGTGTACTATGCTTTACTAATATAAACACCTCTTTGCTGGGGTAGGGGAGTGCTTCTGCACAGAAATTACCCAAACTGAGTTATACAGCTTTTAGTGGCATAGTAATGGGAATTTAAATTTACAATAAAAAACAACAACAAAAAACTATTCTAATTACGACAACTATTTTTTTTTTTTTAAACCAATCTTAAATAGACCATCTTCCTATTAAAAGATGGCAGAACAGAATGTAGGAGGAGAGGTTTGGTCTGAAGAGGGTTATCTGTCCAGGAGACGCTTTATCCCCAAAGCAATGCGCTTCAGTTTGCTGTGCGCAGCAGAGCACCTGTTGGGGGGAGAAAAGTAGAGCACCTGAAAAGTCCATGAACAAATTCCAACAGCAAAAAAATGTTCCTATTTTGTTCAAATTTTCACTAACAGACTATTCTTTCAAACACATTATATTTATAAACTAACTGGAAAATTATCCAAAAGCCCATTCACTTTTCACACATGCAAAATTATCTTTTTTTGCTCATGGAGTTTTCACTGGCAGACAAGCATGCGCGCATTGTGCATTGCGGGCGCAGATTAAAATGCTGTGCGACCTGCAAAGAAACAATGTGAAGTGTATACCTAGAGCCGCTGCGCTTCGCAGGCGCGGGGGGGATTGGCAGCATCTCCTTCAGAAATTACTGTGAAAGAGGAGGAAAATTTGATTTAAAATCCAGCTATGTAACTAAATTGAATTTGGGACTAGAAAGCCTTCGGCAGACCAATCCTTCCAGCCATCTGATGCGCAACATAAGGTTTCTCATAAAACAAAGAAAATGTCAATTCAGTTGTGAATTCATATTGATACCTGGAACTCTCCTGCTAGACCACCTCTAAAGGCCCAGGGTTCTTGGTCTCCAATTAAGAACTGTGCTGAAGAATGACTACGACACCCTGTTGAGATCAGATCCAAGCGGAGAACGTTACGAGAAAGGGGATTTCCTGGGGTCTCAAATGTCCAACAAACTAACAAACACTGTGGAAATAGCTCTCTAACAATAATATTCCAGGGTTTCAGGGCAAGGCTGTGATAATAATTATTTATAAAAATTTTTAATGGAATTTCAATACCTTTATTGATGTTCCTTCCTCTGGTTAATAAAAAAGTGTTGCCAGTTCTATTTGATGCTTAATTACTAGAAGGAAAATTAAGTCCCAAGTTTGTCTGGGTCAAGTTTGAAACTATTTCGATAGTTATATAAATCAAGCCATCTGACATTAAAGTAACCGTAAACTGAAATGAACGATAAATTATTTTATTATCACAGCCCATGAAGGAATTAAACCTGTCTGAAGTCACATTTTACATTTTGAGGAAGGGTACAGGAAAGGGAAGGGGGGGGAGGGTAATCTTGTCAGAAAACTAAGGTTAGCAGAATAAATAAAAGAAATTGTTATTAAGTTGACAAAATAAAACAATGAAAAAAAACTTTTTGGACAAGGATCATCTAAATTTAGACATGGCTAGTTATAATACTAGTCAGGCAGGTATTGAAAAATAAGAGCCAATTAAAGCTCCTAATTTGTCCAGTGTTAAAAACATTCTTTTCTTAAAAATATGATACTTTCTGGTTCCTCTGGTCAGCCATTATCATCTTTATAATGCACTGAACACATGAATGAAATGGCAGGCTTTGAGGTCCAGAAATCAGTTGTTTAAGGCCACCACTTAATCAACTTCATTTAAAAGATAATAAAGGCAAATGTTTGGAAGCCAAATCAAAATCATCTGCCTAGTCTTCTGACAAAATAAGCAGCGCAATATAGTTCTTTTCCATTGGAAGACAGCATTCTACCTCCTGTTCAAGTTAACAGTCTCATCAGTACAAGATACAGTGTGCTAGTCAGACAGTCCCAAAGCAAACCAAATTTTTAGTTGACAATTCAGCCCATTAAGAGATTATATCTGTTTGTCATGTTTTAAGGGTAGGGGTATTTAAAAAAAAAAACACAGAATATAATATTTGTAAAATAAATATGAAATAGGGCCAAAATTTAGACTATAGAGAACTTGCCCTATTCAGTAACTCAGTGTGATTTACACTGCAGGGAAAAAATCTATACTTCTCAAACTTTAAATTCAGCCAATTTCCCCTACCCCCAACTTTGAGACTACAACATAACTAGCACTTCCAACTATTACAATAAAAAAGCTGCATGTACGAAGAGCTGTGTAAATGAAAACATGGTTAATGCCTCAGTCGCTGCGCAAACGTGACTTCAGTTCATGCCTAATGCCCTTAAATCTACCTGAACTACCTCACAGATAGAACCTTTCAATTTAAACTAATTAATCATGACGCGCTGTGAACATCTGCCGCTGTCCATCCAATAGTAGTAGACACTTGTGCTGAGGATTCTCCCATCTGTACACAATGGGGAAGAAGATAATAGAAGTCGTTAGTAATCAAAAGTACTGCATAGCCACATTCTTTAAAGGACTGAATGCCAGCTGGACTGGAGAGCAAGAAAACAAAGGGTTCTAATCATTAATCCCCTGAAGTTAATATAGAACATAAAGATACTCTCCCTGTTGTGAGCTTTTTTAGAGCTATGTTAATACCAAGATGGTTACTGAAAACTTTTAAGAGGCTCTGACCTTGAGACTGTACACCACTCTCTATAAACTGGGAAAGTTATCCTAATAATTGCATAACACAGAGACAAAGCCTGAGAAGAAAAATAAATGGTACTGTACATACTCAAGAATTAAATTTTTAATAATTCTTGAATTAAATGAAAAACATTTAAAATCATATATTCTTTAAGCTCAATAGTCTACACTTAAGGTTCAAAATTCGTAAGTGCCTTGGAAATTTTTAGATTTAAATTCCTATAAGGATTAATTGTAACTCCCTGGCTAGAAGCCTAGAAGGCAAATGCTGTCATTCAACAACTAATACAGAGGATTTTCCTGAGCCTAAGGGTATACATCTACCTACAATAGGTATCCTAGAGTCTTATAACAAGAGATTTAAAAAATTTTTTCCTACTTATTGCACTAATTTATATTCAATAACCCAAAGTAAGTTCTATATTGCCAAATAAACTTTTAGAAACTCAATTTTTTAAAAGTATTTTTTTAGTTGTAGATGGACATAATACTTAATTTATTTATTTTACTTATGTGGGGTTGAGGATTGAACCCAGTGCCTCACATGTGTTAGGCAAGCACTCCACCACTAAGCCATAATCCCAGCCCCAAGAGAAAGACTTTAATTTTTAACAGTCCATTATATAACAAGAAAACTGTTTTACTTTTTAATATTTAACAGCCCAAAGGTTTATGGGCAGAAAATGAGACATCTCACACTACTACCTGTTAATCTAAGCTCACAGTGTTTCAGACCATCTATTTCATAACTAAGACCATGATACCCATCATAGTATTTGTGACTACTATGAAAACTATGACATGTCAGCTTTGCTGCCTGCTGTGTGCCATATGTAAGTTCATTACATATTCCTTATACCTGGCTGAAACCTGGAAATGAAATGAGGTCCCTGGAGAAACTTGGCCATGCTGGTGCTTTTTACCAAGTTTTGAGAATTTCCAGAACAAACATCACTGTTTTCAATGGAGACATGAAAGTCCAGTGAATGATGTAGAGTTTTTAGGGGACTATAATTTCTATCCCCTGCTAAAACCAATTACTTGGTAGAAGGATAAAGAAAAAGTCATGTGAAATAATACTGAGTAGCACCAGAATAGCCTTCCACTAAAGCTCGCATGCGCACAGGGCTGGGAGGATGGCTTCCTCTTGCCAAGCCCCTCAGGTCATTTCAGCAATTGTTCTATTAGACAGAGCATTAATGTTACAGAAGACACAGCAAGCAGCAGAAAGCTTATAGAGTCACATTTCATAGTGTCTCATCTCCAAATCAGACAGTAGTAGTACATGGGGTCCCATCCAGGAAGCATTCAGTCAGAGCAAGTTAAAGTCAGTACTTTCTAACATATTTTCAATGTATTTATGTTGAATTAGCCCAAGGGAGAAAAATTAGTGTGCTCGATATATAACGAGACATTTCTTCAACAAATGCCTACCTTTGAAAGAAACCTAGATAAAGAATTAAACAAGATTTGGAAATTCGCCAATTCCCTAAAATGTTTTTCTCCCTGTGGGATAATTTTTAAATATATGTATATATTTTAAGGGACAATATATTTTAGGAGAAGATATTATTCCTGGTGCACCTACCTAACCACTGTACAAAAGACTTCACCATAGACATTATACTCTTGATATCCCAAACATAGGAGTACATGTCATAAAGGATTGTCCTGTTGGCACAATTGGAAAGCCGAGT